TCACAAATTTCCCCAATTTAAAGGAGAGGCATATAAGCATACAAGAGGCCACAGAACACCTAATAAACTAAACCAGAAAAGAAAAATCCTCTCACCACATAATAATCAAAACAGTAAGTATACAGAAAAAAAGAAAAAAAATAGTAAAAGGTGCAAGGGAAAACAGCCAAGTAACATATAATGGCAAACCCATCAGAATCACACCTGACTTCTCAACAGAGACCATGAAAGCCAGAAGGGCCTGGATGGATATCATGAAGACCTTAAGAGAACACAGATGTCAGCCCAGGATACTATACCCAGCAAAACTCTCAATCATCATAGATGGAAAAAACAAGATATTCAGTGACAAAAACAAATTTAAACAATACCTACCCACAAATCCAGCATTACAGAAAATACTAGAAAAAAAAAAATCCAGGAAAGCTAACTACACTCAGGAAAACACAGGAAATAAATAACCTCACTACAGGAAAACTAAAACTACCCAAGTACACAACCAACATCAAAATCAAAGGATCTAACAGCCACTGGTCATTAATCTCTCTCAACATCAAATGGACTCAACTCTCCACACACCTAAGTGACAAAGATAGACATTACCTGAGAGTAAAGGGCTGGAAGACGGTTTTCCAAGCAAATGGACCCAAGAAGCATGAAGGAGTATCCATTCTATTATCTAATAAAATAGATTTTCAACCAAAATTAATCAAAAGAGATGGGGAAAGCCACTTCATACTCATCAAAGGAAATGTCCACCAAGAAGACATCACAATTCTGAACATCTATGCCCCAAATACAAGGGCACCCACATTTGTAAAAGAAACATTAATAAAACTTAAACAACACATAGATCCCCACACATTAATAGTGGGAGATGTCAACACCCCACTCTCAACAAAGGACAGGTCAACAAACCAGAAATTAAATAAACGATGACAGAGGTCATAAATCAAATGGACCTAACAGACATCTACAGAACCTTTCACCCAAACACAAAAGAATTTACCTTCTTTTCAGCACCTCATGGAACCTTCTCCAATATAGACCATATAGTTGGTCACAAAGCAAGCCTCAACAGAAACAAGAAGATTGAAATAATTCCTTGTATCCTATCTGATCACCATCAACTAAAGCTGGACCTCAACAACAGAAATAGCAAAAAGCCTACATTCTCTCACATGGAAACTGAACAACTCACTACTCATTGACAGCTGGGTCAGGGAAGAAATAAAGAAAGAAATTAAAGACTTCCTATAATTCAATGAAAATGACGGCATAACATACGCAAACTTATGGGACACAATGAAAATGGCTCACCCGAAAGCCCTAGGGAAAAAAGAAGCAGACACACCCAAGAGAAGTAGACGGCTGGAAATAATCAAACTCAGGGCTAAAATCAATAAATTAGAAATAAAGCAATTCAAAAAATCAGTGAAACCAAGAGCTTGTTCTTTGAGAAAAATCAACAAGATAGACAAACCCTTAGCCAAACTAACTAAAAGGAAGATAGACACTATCCAAATCAACAAAATCAGAAATGAAAAGGGGGACATAACAATAGACACTGAAGAAATTCAAACAATCATTAGGTCTTACTTCAAAAGCCTATACACCACAAAATTTGAAAATCTAAATGAAATCGACAATTTTCTTGATCAATTCCACTTACCAAAGCTGAATCAAGACCATGTAAATAAACTAAATAGTCCAATATTCCCTAAGGAAATAGAAGCTGTCATCAAAAGTCTCCCATCCAAAAAAAAGTTGCAGGGATGGAACTCAGACTATCAGTCTTGGTGGCATGCACCTTTTACCTGATAAGCCGTCTCACCATCTAAGTAGTATTTCTTTGTAAACCAGGCTTATTTCACTTAGCACAATGTTCTTCAGGTTCATCTACCATAAGCACTGTTTTTGTTTTGTTTTTTCAAGATTGGGTTCTTTGTGTAGCCTTGACTGTCCAGGAACTTGCTCTATAGACCAGGCTGGTCTCGAACTCAGAGATCCACTTGCCTCTGCCTCCCAAGTGCTGGGATTAAAAGGCTGGACCACCACTTCATGGCACCACATGTATTCTTTTGGGCTTATACACTCTGGAGTTGGAAGGAAACAAGCCAGTAACTGAAGTCTAGGCACAGACAGTTAAGGTCTCAACAAAAATCTACTTTCTCCAGCCAACGAAACATATAAAGGGACAGCTTAAGAAGACAGAAAACTTAAATTAATAAGCACTTGCTATAGTCAGACATAAAAAGATGTAGGTCCTTCCTCAAGACATGCAGCAAATGGACAGTCTAGACTTCCATCCTTATTAAGTATGCAGGAAGTAGAGGCAGAAGGATTACAAGGCTTCAGGGCCTGCCTGGGCAATACAACAAGACTGTCTTGTCTCAAATAACAAAACAAACAAACAAAAAACAAACTTTTTGTTTTAGTTTTTAAAGAAAGCATACTACAATTAAAACAAAAATAATAATGTTATCTGATATGGTTCTAAATTTATATAGAAGATTTTTCAAATAAGTTTATTTTAAATGGAGCAAGATAAAGGCACTATACATACTGAATTATTCTCTCTTCCACCCCCCAATACATTGAATTTTTAACCCTAGTACTTCTTTATGACCTCATTTCTCACTAGGGTCACTGATTGATATTTCAAATGAGGTTATATTGGAACAGGTCCATATTTCATGAAGACTGGTGTCCTTACAATATAGTTATGTGAAGACACATGGAGAAGACCATATGACAGCAAAGGCAGAAACCGCAAATTAAGTACTGCCAGAAGTGCCAACAACCCAACACAGATAGGAAGCAGTGGGACAGCAGGAAGATAATGTATCTGTACTTACAGCCTCTAGGCTTGAGAGGCAACAAATCCCAAATGTTCTAAGCCACTCAGCTTGCAGCACTTTGTTATGACAGCCCCAGAAAGCTAACACAGACACAAAAAAGGAAGGTAAGGTTTTTGTACTGCAGTGAAAGCTGACATTAGACCATAGCAGGTTATGTACATACACTGACAGCAAACACTACAGATGCTGGAATAGAACTCTTAAAATAAAAAAGCCAGGCTGGGTGTGTGGCACACTCCTTTAATCCCAGCACTGGGGAGACAGTGGCAGGTAAATCTCTGTGAGTCTGAGACTAGACTGGTCAGCATAATGAGTTCCTGGCCAGCCAAGGCTATACAGTAAGAACCCATCTCAAAACAAGTAACAATAAAAAGAAAACTAAAAATCTGACATCAAAATTAAGAATTTTTGCTTACTAAAAAGGTTCTGAAAAGAAAATATCAAAGACAAAATCAGACTGTAGGAAAATTTGTAAACTGCATATTCAACAAAAACATTAGATTCTTAAAACTTTTAAAAGCAAGAAAATATCCTTGTTAATTTTTGTAAATACAAGAAAAAATAAGCAATGGCATGATAGACCCTTCACTAAAGAGAACATACTAATGGCAAAGAAAATAACATATAAAGATACATTCAGCATCATTAACCATTATGGAAATGCAAGTTAAAGTATAAGATATTAGTATGTGCCTTCATAATGGCTGGAATAAAAATTGCTGGTGAGGAGGCAGAGAAATGGAATCACTCATACCTTATGGGTAAAAATGTTACAGTCACTCTGGAAAACATTTCTGCAGTTTTAAGAGAAACTAAACATACAATTACCATACATCCCAGCAATTTCACTCTGGGGCTTTATTCGCGAGAAAAGAAAACTTGTGTTTTCACAAAAAAAAAAAAAAAAAAACCAAAAAACTGCACATAGATGTTCACATCCCCAAACTGCAAGTTACTCAGCTGTGGTACATCTATACCACGGATAGCACTCAGCAAGAGAAAAGTCTGCACTATTACCCAGAGGGTTACACTGAGGTTCAAAAACAATCTCTAAGGTTACATTCTATATGATTTCATTTATAAAACTTTCTTGAGATGACAAAACTATAAAAATAGAAGACTAGAATTGGCCAGCGTTAATGACAGGGAGTAGAAGTTGGGGGCAGGGAGTAGATGAGGTGATAAAGGGGCAACACAGGGATCCTTCTGCTGATGTGTTTTGTATGTGAATTGTGTCAGGGTCAATTCCTGGTTCTGATACTATACTATACATGCATTTCTACATCATCTCAAAATAAAATGCTTACTTTAAAGCAAAAATGGGCAAACCACACAGATCATACTAATTACTGAGCTAAGCACCTGCTGTACAGTTAGGCCCTATTTAAGTATGCTCATAAGTTCTTATTAAAGACTATGTTTTATGCTTAGTTCTTAAATGATCTTCTGTGAAACACTTGGTGCGAGAAGGCAGGGTGCAGGACGGAACTGGCCTTATGCCTACTAGCTGAGTGCTCTGCTCCTAAATTGCTTTCTTAGCCTATGACATGACAGCCTTCCTTAAGAGGTGTAACTTAACTTAGTAAAGCAAGTCTGAGAAAGAAACAAAAACATTTTATATTCTTTTAATTTTATTTTTTTAAAGAATGTATTTTATGTATATGAGTCCTCTATCTGCATGTATACCTATATGCAGAAGAGGGCATCAGATCCTGAGCCACCCTGTGGTTAATGAAAATTTAACTCAGGACTTCTGGAAGAACAGCCAGTGTTCCTAACTGCTGAGCCATTTCTCCAGCCCAACAAAAAAGATTTTTTTTTTTAATGTAGTACTTTTCAAAGTCTAACATCCTAGTCAATGTTATACATATAAAAGCAGATGTCTTATAGTTTTCTTCAAATTTCTTTAATTTTAGAACTCCTGTTTCTATATGGTGTACATTAAATAAATCACATGAAGAATGAGTCTTCCATGCATCATAAATAAATGCTGGGTCATACATCATAAATAAATGCTGGGTTCTATCACTATCCTGTTAGAGTTAGGTTTTATTTTATCCCAATTTAAGCTATAGACTTATTGTTATAAGCCTGAGTATATTTTTATCAGAATGTTTATGGCGAGCCCAAACTACTTACCATGTAACAATATAAATAGAACGAAGTACTAATGTAAAGACCAACATTCCATACATGACCTGAACAGGAAAGAAAAAGAAAGTAGTTAGTACAATTCTTTCCTACCTACCTACCCATCCATTCCATCCATTGACCAGACATAGACCGACCGACCGACCGACCGACCGACCATCCATCCATCCATCCATCCATCCATCCATCCATCCACCTGGACTGAACCCCATTTCTTACTAGGTCCTGCACTGAGTTACTGTATCCATAGCTTATTTCATTTATAAAGAAAGATGATATTCTAGTATGACACTGGTTAAGTCAATCTATATAATATGCATGAATAGGCAGACATATTGCATATATGTATATTTACATACAGTGAAGCATAGAACATATCAAAATCGGTATTTATCATTTTTCCAAATGTGCTTATCACATTAGTTTCCTTACATTCCTAATTAATGTTAAAGGGCTGGCGTGGTGGCTCAGTGATTAAAACCATTGCTTGTTCTTCCAGAAGACCTGGGTTCTATCTCTCACACCTGCTTAGCAGCTTACAACTACCTGTTATTCAGGTTTAATGGATCCAACTCTCTCACACAGACACACATTCAAGCCAATCACCAATGCATTAACAAAATGTGAGATGCCTACTTTATGATAAAATATACAAAGAAACATAATAGAAAAAGTTAACTCAAACTGCTTAGATTCTTGTTTTTCACATTGTTCACTCAGTGTTTTTACAAACCTGAGGGTCAAGTGAGAAAAGACAAGTCTCCATATACTGATGTATCATATCTGGGAATCAATCTTTAGCAGACATCTAAAATTATCAGACACTGGGAAAATAAAGTAACTCCTTGAGACAGCAGATGGTCTCACTCTGAGATAGCATTACTGATTTGTCAATTTGCTGCTAAAAATTGCTTCACTGGCTTCTTAGGCATTTTTTATCTTACAATTTTGTTGTTGTTTCTTTGCGTTAAGATATACTGGTGCATCTATTTAATGTGGCAGCTATGTAATTACAGTATTACCTTATTTTGAAAGACCATCAAATTAAATCAGTGAGCTTGGGCTCTCATATGGAGATTTCTACTAGATAACCGTGGACTTAACAGTAAAGTAGAGTTGTTATAAGTACTTTTGATTCTCTGGAAAATTGAATCTGACCTGTAGATACTTTTGGTGTTTATTAACCCTTTAGATGTTATTTATCATGGGCAGGAATTTACATGTCATTTGATATCTTACTCTATAGTTTTAAATGTTTAAATTTTTATGAATATACATGACTTGCCTGTATGAATGTGTATTATGTGCATACCTAGTACCTGCACAGCTAGAAGAAGACATCAGATCACCTGAAATTGGAGTCACAGATGGTTGTGAGCTACCATCTGGGTGCTGGAAACTGCACCCGGTTCTCTGTAAGAGCATCAAGCATTTTTTTATTTCCCCCCAGAGCTGAGAATTGAACCCAGGGCCTTGTGCTTGCTAGGCAAGGTGCTCTACCACTGAGCTAAATCCCCAACCCCTGCATCAAGTGTTCTTAACCACTGAGCTACTCCTCTAGCCCTATGTAGGTTTAATATCAAACTGTACTATTAAGTTTAATGAATGCAAATATTAAGCTGCATTCTTATATTGTTTTCATATGATACTTACAAAAGGATACATTTTCCTGTTTTCAACATTTTTAAATGCTTTTAATTTATTGCTACTGGGTGTCTTTGTATGCGAGAAATACGTGTAACTGTGGATGTATATATGTAGAGGCGTGCCTTCTATCATGGAACCCAGGGACTGAGTTCCATAGCCAGGCTTGCTCAGTAAGAGGTTTTATCTGCTGAGCCATTTTGCTGGCCCATTTTCAGTACTTTCATAAATCAAGAAATTAAAAGATTAAAGACAGGAATAAATTTCTATATGGCTTATCAACTGTCAAGAGATTAAGATTCTAAATTTTCAAGGCAGTGTTTCTTTATGTAAGTTAGCTTCCCCCTTCTGTTTCAAATAATGGATAGTTGTATCACTATCAAAAAACCAAACAACTCATTTATCAGTTTGTTTGTTTCTTCGTGGTGCTAGGGATTAAACCCAAAGCCTTCTGACTAAGCACATATCCTATCACTGAATTTTCACTCCTGCCGCACTAATCATTTATCTTAAAATGAAGAAATCAGGGTCAACAAAAGCCGCCAGTAGAAAAATGAAACAGGCTGGGTGTAGTGATGCTCACTGTAATCCCTATACTTGGAAGTATGAGGGAGAAGTATTTCAAGTTTGAAGACAGCTTGAGCTGTATAGTGAGACACTCTCAAAAAAGACCAAAACCCAAAAAAGAAGAGTGAAAACATATACTATGTGTTATGGCTATGTATTATTATTATGGAATAATATCTGCCAAGTATAGTTGTCACCCGTATTCTGCAAACATTTAACATTATGCCACATTATTTCTGTGTGTGTGTGTCTCCCTCCCCACCTAATCACTTATTTATAACTAAACATTTAGGTGCACATTGCCCCAAAACAAGGATATCCTATTACATATCCAAAGTATAAACATGGAAACTATAACAATGATGGTACAATACTAAACAGCCTTATTCAAAATTTAGTTATCTTAATATTTGTAATAGGCAAACCCAAAAAACAAGTAAGTGAGGCATGGTTGTTGATGCCTTTAATCTCAGTACTCGGGAGGCAGAGGCCAGCTGTGAGATCCAGGCCAGCTATTGCTACATAGTAAGGTCCTGTCTAAAACAAAATACTACACAGGGCATGAAAGTTACATTCAGTTATCACATCTTTCCATTGTGCTGTTGTTTTTGTTGTTGTTCTGTTTTGTTTTTGTCAACTTGACACAAGCTAGAGTCACATGGGAAGAGAGAACCCCAACTGAGAAAATGCCTCTACAAGACTGGCCTGTAGGCAAATCTGGAGGACATTATTATTATTAAAGATTGATGTGTTAGGGCCAAGCCCACGGTGGGCGTTGCCACCCACAAGTCCTGAGTTATATTAAAAAGCAAAGTGAAGTTTTCTGTAATAGTCTCCATCTGTTGCAAAGAGAAGATTCCTTGATGAGGAGGAAAGACTACACTTACTGTGGGTAGAAGGACAAATGTTTATAGATTTTGTTAGGGATTATCCTGGTTCAGTAAAGTAATAGTTGTAGATTCTCCTCCAATAACCACAACCAATCAAAACTCTATAGAGTTGTAGAGCCCAGTCCTAATGAATACATCTACAAAACAATTCCCACACCCAAGGCTCAGGAAATATTGTGAAAGAGGTGATGCTAAGATTGTATGAGCCAGGCCATCAGGGAGTTTGCTCTGAGATTGTCTTAGTAATGTTAGAAGCTACATCCATCAAGTCTCACCAACATGACTGTCCAAATACGAGCTGAACCAGGATGACACCAATGAACATGACAAACTGGACAGGAAAAAAAAAAAAAAGCCCATGAGGCCTCAACCTTACAAAGAACTGCAGGGAACTGAGGCGAGTTGGAAATGGGAGAAGTGGTCTTCCCAAAGAAAGAGCGTACCAGCTGACTGTCTACTGCCAAGTGATCACCCTGAAAACATGTGCAGGTAGCAATACATGGACCAAAGACGTTATATTTAGGAATATATTTGTATATACATATATACATGCAATACAATTAGTTTTTTAAAAAGAGGCCATGAATTTGAAGGAGAGTGAAAGGAGTATATGGAGGGAGGAAATGGGAGGGTAATTAAATTATAATCTCTTAAAAAAAAAATGACCTGAGCAATCCATGAGACTCTTATTGTCTCAGCTCAAGTTCCTACATCTAGGTTCCTACTTGAGACCATGCCTTGACTTCCCTAAATGATGGACTATAAGCTGTAAGATGCAATAAACCCTTTTCCTTTCAAGTTGCTTTTGGTTGTGGTGTTACTGCACAATAGAAAGCAAGCTAGGATACTCTCTGAACTCTTTTTATTACATACTAGTTCCTCACTCTCCCTGTGTTTGATGAATTTAGCTTTTGTGGCCCACACAATATATTATATGGCCGAGGCTGGACTGACTTTACAGTCCTTTTGCCTCAGCCTTCAGAGTTCCGGGATCATAGGATGTACTGTCTGGCTTATGAGTTTGATATTTTTAAAGGTTATAGTCAAGTTACTTTGGAGAATTTCCTTTAGTTTGAGTTTGTTTTATATCTCTTCATGATTTACTAAAATGATTCTGTATCCCAAGTGAATCACATAAAGAGAAACATGATCCCATTTGATACCTATTACCGGTGATACTAAATTTATTGCAGATTTTTCTAAATATAGCATCCAAACCAGTCCATATTATTATTGAGCTTAAATTCTTTTTTTACAGGTTATAAAACTGCTTTAATGGAAACTCCCCCAATACACCATCTGGGACAGGGAGGAATGTGGCCAGGGCTGGCCCCAGGACAATACTGAGCTTGTAGTAGTTACAAGTTATTCATCTGTCACCATAAAAAACTGCCACAGGGCCTCAGCCTCACACAGGTATAAAAATAATAAATATTTACACTCTTGCTGTTCCTACACAGAACCGAGGTCCAAGGAAGCCCTCCCATAGAGGCAGGCTAGGATGGAGGTGCACTTCCGGGAGGGGCAGTAAGGCCTAGAGGTCACCCCTCGACTGGGCCTAGTCAAAGGTGGGCAGAAAACAAAACTTTTGTTCAAAATCTGAAGGTAGGAACCCACTAGTCTCAGAGTTTTTTCTTCAGATGGAGAAAGCGCCGGCAACACAGAAGCTTAAAGTATACACATACCATTGTATCACTGTTATAAAAAAGTTACTTAAAACGGTATCTCTTGCATACAAATGGAAAAAGATTTGAGTATTTTGTCAAGTGGAAATATCGCTAGGCACAGGTGTCTGTGACCACACAGAATAGAATATAAAGGTCACATGAAGCTCGGCAGCTGAGGATGGCTGGGCCCTCTGGACTGGCCAGGGACATGGGAGAATCACTTAACTTGATTATAAGGGTGGGAGTGGTGGCCCCCGCTCCTGTACAGCATGGGGAGCCTAAGGTGCAGGCCACCTGGCTCACTTACAGGTCTAGAGACAAGTGGCCTCAGAGAGTGGGTGTGCGGCCATGAGGCATGCTGGTTTTGTAAGGCACAGAAAGGGGCTGTGTTTGGGACACCACTGTGGCTTCATGCCTGAGCCCCTCAAAGCATGGTGCAGGGCCTGACTGGGCCTCTGTGGCCCAAGCCATCTCCTGCCACAGCAAGGTGGGCTAGATTTATTTAAAAAAAAAAAAAAAAAAACAGGTAATGTGATCTTTCTTATAAAAAATAAAATCTGTAAGGTCTGTAAGGTCACCTCGGCTGCTTTTTAAAGTGGCTTTTCTGGAATGGGGGAAGCTGTCACAGGCCCACAGGCAGCTAGATGGTGGACTTGAAGAAGGACACATGGAGATGGAGGTTCTCGCCCAGGTCATGGTTATGCAGGTCAATCAGTACATGCATTGTCTCCTGAACAGAGCCCATCTGGATCAATGCCATCTTCTGGTCCTTCTGGAAGAACTTGGAAGCCTTTGACCATACCACCATTGCTGGAGAAGAGCTTCTTGAGTTTGTCCTGTGACACAGAGGGTGGGATGTTGGAGAGGTGCAGGGTGGCAGAGGGTGGAAAGATGTTCTGGAAATTCTTGGAGCCTGGCTTCTGGAGGTGGTGCAGAGACGAACTGCCGCAGTCTTCGGTCAGGCCCTGGTCCTCCTGCCCCTCACGAGGCAGCTGCACACTGATGCTTTGACAGTGTGATTTGCACTGACCTCCCATGCAGCTGGGGTCTGTTTGGGTGGCTCATGGCCAGCTGGGCCTGGCTGCCGTCTGGCATCTGTACGAGTGCATTCTTCTTATTAAACAGGATCTTCACCTGCTGCACATCACCGCAGACATCAAGGAAAATAAAGAAGCTTTGGGATGCAACTCTCAGGATTCGGGTTGCTGACCAAAAGAATGGAATTCCCAGAGCCTGCCAGGCCTGGGATGGTTGTGGCCAGCTGCGGCAGCAGCAGCAGATGGTATGGCCAGAGGGGCCAGGGCTCCATGGACATTAGGGACAAAAAGGCCTGCTACCTGAGGGATGGCAAAGGTGGGAAGGAACCTCCTTCTGCATATGGAGAGGCTCACATTATGCCAGGCACACCAAAGGCTGCCACCATGGTCTGATCCAGTGAAGGCTGGCTGTCTCCAGAGAGCATGACCTTAAATTCTTAATCCATCTTCTTGCCCCATGCTCCAGAGTGCTAGGATTAGAGCTATACGTATCATCAAGCCCAAATATGTCCTATATTTGCAACTTCTTCCAACAGTGAGAACTGCTTGTTTGTTGAACTGTTTGGTAGTTTATTATAAAGAACAGTAGAAAGGATGCAGATAAAAAAGACATCGCAGAAGGCACACAAATTTTCCATGCTCACTCTGGGCATGCCATTGTCCTACTTTCTGGAAACACTTATTTTGACTTTGTGTGTGTGTGTGTGTGTGTGTGTGTGTGTGTGTGTGTGCGTGTGCGCGCGCATATGTGCACACATGCACACACACACACACACACACACACACACACACACTCTGAGAACACTGAGCTCCCTTGATTTTTAATCTCTGGGCCTAAGATATAAACTACAACGGACATGAGCAGACTCAGTTTTCAATCTGCTTCCCTTTTTATCAGCACATATTACTATTATATGTAGAGAAGAAAATATTTCGTACTGAAAAACACATAGCTATTACAATATGGATAGTTACACTGATAATTTATTTTTATTATATAGAACAGATTCAAATAGGCCTAAAGCACAAAACAGAAAACTGATGGTCATTAAATTATAAATCTTTCTAAATAAAATAGCAACTATATAATGATATAACTACAAATTATGTCACTGCGAACTACAATAAATAAGAAAGTGATGATGCCATTTACTGCAGTGTCATGAGTACATTTGCTTTCAAATGGCCTGAAGCAAGGCCCTATGAGGAAGCTACAGGTTTCATTTCAACAAATAAATTACAGTTAGATTATTACTGTATTTATTATGTATTATTACTGTATTTTCTATATAAGCATTTAAAAGCATAAGGTATCTGACCCTCCTGGGATATATGTATGTATGTATGTGTGTATGTATGGATGTATGTATATATATGTGTATATATGTATGTTAGCTAGTTTGTTGAAAGAATGATAGCTGAAGTTAAGTATTAGTTACTTTCCTGTTGCTGTATGGAGAACACTATGAGCAAAGGAACTTAGAGAAGAAAGGATTTATTTGGGCTTATGGTTCCAGCGGGCTAGAGTCCATGATGCAGAGTGGAGGTAGCAGGCTACAAGAATGGTGGCTGGAGTGCAAGCTGAGAGCTCATGTCTCTAACCACAAGCGGGAGGCAGAGATCAAATACAAAATGGCTCTAAGTCTTTAAACTTTTAAAGCCCATCTCTCGTGACATACTTCATTTAAAAGAGACCGCCTCTTAAACCTCCCAAATAGCACCCTCATCTGGGGAGCAAGTATTCAAACACCTGAGCCTGTGGGGAAGATTCTCAGGAGATAGCCAACCCGTGACATTATTAACCATACTCTACTATGCTTGCGTATGGGATCCTAGCATAACTGTCATTTGAAAGGCTCCACCCAGCAGCAGATTGAAACAGATGCTGAGACTCACAGCCAAACATTGGGCAAAGCACAGGGAGTCTTGTGAAAAAGCGCGGCAAAGGATAGAAGGACCTGGGGCGGGGAGGGCAGGAACTCCACAAAAAAGAGCAACAAAGCCAACTAACCAGGGCCCAGATGGGCTTGTGGAGACTGATGCACCAACCAAAAACTGGATCTAGGCCCCCTACACAGATGTAGCCAACAGCCAGCTTAGACTTCATATGGGTCTCATAAGTAGGGGGAGCAGGGGCATATCTGTGATATGGACTCTGTTGCCTGCTTTTTGACCACTTCCCCCTGGTGGGGCTGTCTCACCAGACCACAAGGCAAGAGGATGTACTCAGTCCCGATGTGACTTGATATACTGGGGTGGGTTGGTAGGGGGGCTCCCCTTTTCTGAGGAGTAGGGAAGGGGGGTTGGGGAAAGAGGGAAGAAGGGTGGGCCAGGAGGAGAAGAGGAAGGGGGCTATGATTGAGATGTAAAGTAAAATAATTTTAAAAATCTAGGTTATGATTCTAGCTCTGCCTTTTAAATACTGTATTTGTTGTCTAAAGGCAACTAATTTCATATCTGAACTCATTTCCTTTAAGATATGCAAACTAATTCCTAATTTGTGGGGCTCTGAGTGAGAACAGAAGTTTGAAATTTGTATGGTATCAGGAACAGTACTTCATCAATAACTTCCACCTCAAAAAATACATCAGATATTTTAAGGAGAAAATATTTGAGGAATTTGTAGTTTAGTCTTTTCTACATCATATTATCATAAAGACATTTTTTTTTTTTTTGACAGAAGATCTATCATAGACTAAGCTGACCTCAAACTCACTATGGAGGGAGGCTGGCCTTCACTTTCTGATCTTCTTTCCTCCATCTCCCAAGTGCTGGCATTACAGGTGTCTGGTACCACATTAGGCTTCATAAAAAGACTCGTGTGTGTATATGCATGAAACTCCAGGGTTCCTTTGGCTTCTAAGAGTGATACTGTACCTTTATTACTGGATACCACATCCAGCTGGATTGTGACATTGGCTGTACCAGGTATATTCCTATTACCTATGCCTACCTCCTCTCTGCAGCTTTGTTTTAAAGTGATCTTTGTTTTAAAATTGGGAGGGGTGGGAGGGCAGGTTTTACCACGTTTTAATCACAGCACTCAGAGAGGCAGCAAACACTGGTAAATCTCTGAATTGAAGGCCAGCTTGGTCTACACAGAGCTCCAGCCCAGCCAGGGCTATAGCCAGTGCCGTCATGTAGCCAACACTGGCCTTGAACTCACTTTATAGCTGAGGATGACCCTGAAGTCCTGATCCTCCTGCTAGGATCTCTTACGTATAGGAATGTGCCATCATTCTAGGCCAGTTCTTAATCTACGGGTCATGACACTTTTGGGGGATCAAATGACCCTTTCATAGGGGTCGCATATCAGATATCCTGCGTATCATATATTTACATTACAATTCATAATATTAGCAAAATTACAGTTCTAAAGTAACAGTGAAATAACTTTATGGTCGGGGGTCAGCACAACATGAGAAACTGTATTAAGGGTCGCAACATTAGGAAGGTTGAGAACCGCTGCTCTACACTAATAGTGGATTCTTGACATTTTAACCATTTCATTTTCAAAAGTTGTATCTGCACATAACTTCCTAGAGAAGGAACCACTGACAACGAGCATTTATTGTTAAACAATTAAATGTTTCATAATTCAAAAAAATGATCAGGCTGGAGAGATGGCTCGGCAGTTAAGGGCACTTTTCTTGCAGAGGACCCAGGTTTGACTCCCAGAACCCACATGGCAGCCCCAAACCAACTATAACCTCAGTTCCAGGGGATCTGATAACTTCTTCTGACCTTCATAGGCACCAAGCAGGCAGGTGGTATACAGATATACATGCAAGCAAAACCTTCATATAAATAACATAAAATAAATAAATCTTTTAAAAATATTACCTGATGAAATATGGGCTCTTTTACTTTTAGGTAAATCTGAAAAATATTAGAAAAACAAAAGTGAAGGGCGGTATAAAAATCTATTCCACCACTCTGCAAATCCCACACCTCTCCTTCCCCCATGTTATTCCAACCAGATTCCAGCCACATAAAACCAATCAGATTAGATGGCATGGCACAGAGGGCTAGCTCTGCCATGACAAATGAAACATGTAATATTTCAAATCAGTGATGGACTACTTCAACATCGGTCTTTGTGTCATCATCAAGGAGGGTCAAGGATGCAAGGTTATTCTTGAAGGGTGAATAAATCATGCTGACAATCCCTGTACCAGATTTGTTCTGCACTAAAAAGAACACTGTAGTCAGAGCCCAAAATGTGGGCTCTTGATTACTACAGACCTTCACCACGTGTCGTGTAACTTAAAATTGATCCTTACCTGAGGAATGGAGAAGAGCAGCATGGAGGATGCTCAGCTAATTACATGAAAGGGTCTAGACATACTAGATCACCAGTAGTAAATGAAGACACTTGAACACTTCTTGTACTCATTTCTGCTTCCAAGCTATTCACTACCTAGATGAACCTCCAGTTATATAAACCCAAGTTTCAGGCTCCAGTGTTTTGTGGGTGTTAAGTTCAATGCCTTTGTAAGATGAACTGTCTACAGAAGCACACTTTTTAAATGACACAGTACAGAGGACTCAAAATTCACATCAACCCTTCAGTGACTTACACTGCCATGACAAAGTTCAGGTTTCTTAACGTGACATTCAAAGCTTCTCAGTGCTCCTGTGCTTCTGCCTGGCCTCACTGCAGTCTTCTCCTCTCTCTAATCTCCAGAGAGCACTGTGTTTCTGGAATGCGTCACTTTCACGCTCCTGTGTCTGTAAACGTATGGCTCTTCACTTTGTTCAGAAATACTTCCACTGGCAAATACTTTTGAAAATTCAACACAAATTATTCCTCCTTGATACCTTTTCTGATCTCTTCCAACAGAAGCAACTATTCACCATCTACCTATAAGCTTTATGGCAGTGGCCTTCCTAGTACTGCATCCCTTTAATACAGTTCCTCATGTTGTGGTAATCCCCAACCATAAAATTCTTTCACTGCTACTTCATTACTGTAATTTTGCTGTTATGGTAAGAGAAACTAAAATTGAGAGAGAACTAAGTAAAAATATTACATCCAAATTCACACCCAATTGATTCTAAAGCTTGATTTGTTTCTAATTAAAACATCTCTTAACTTACAAATGGGTCTAGTCTTGATTTTGATAGCAACTTGCTAGATAAACTTAGTTGGCCAGACAAGTCACTGAAACTATAGATTTCATTCCCTTCATTAATATCATAGCATGACTTCTTTGTATCTCTGAATTTGTAGGACTCGCTCATTATTAACTAGAACAGAGTTTGGGCAAAGGAGTATAGGAAATCAGGAAAACAGTGATTTGTTTATTCAAGACAGGGTTTGTCTGTGTAGCCTTGGCTGTCTTGGACTCACTTGGCAGACAGGCTGGCCTTGAACTCAGAGATCTGCCTGCCTCTGCCTCCCAGAGGGCTGGGATCACAGGCGTGCGCCACTGTGCTTGGTGACATTTCCTTTCAGTAGACTGTCAATCTTCGTTTCTCTTCCCTAGTCACAGACAACTATTAGCTGCTGTTTTACACTTACTGTGTGCGTGTGGCAGCACGGGTGTGGCTGTGTGAAGACAACTTCCAAGGGTAAATTCTTTCCATTATGGGCTCTGGGAAATGAACTCAAATCGTCAGGCTTGAAGGCAAGTCCTTCTACCTGCTGAGCCATCTTGTCATCCTGTTTACTTTTTACTCCTGGGATTTTCATACTCTGTGACATGAGGCTTTCTTCTTTTCCTGTATCTCTGATTATTGTTTTTAGTCTCCTCTGCTGGCTACAGTTCTACATGGTCCTCAAATGTCTGCATTCCATAGAATTGTATCTTTTTATTCTTAATGTTGTGTTTACTTTGGTAACAGTTAACCTATCCCCATATTTCTGATTCAACCTACACCCCTCAACCAACTCCCAAATCTGCATCTTTAGTCAAGCCTACCTGTTAAGCCTTTGGTATCATTAATACTGGACACTTGTAACTCAACATATAATAAACCAGATTATCCATTCCTATACCACGGCATAAGCTTACTAATATCTTTCCTGAAAAAAGACACTCATAGTTGAATTATTTAATTTCAATTAAAAAGTTTCCCTTTTATTACATTAATTGAGTGTGCATGTGTGTACATGGCAATTCATGCCACAGCCATGTGTATACAAATGTATACAAATCAGAGAATAACTTGCAGGAAAGGCGTCAGCTCTCTCTCTTTCTACCATTTAGATTCCAATTGTCAAACTTAGGTTGTTAGGCTTAGCAGCAGGAGCATTTACCCACTGAGCCATTTTGCTGGTCCAGTTTTTTGTTATTATTGTTTTGTTTTGTTTTTTTAAGGATATATAGCCTAGTCTAGTCTTAAACTTATTATATCGTTAAAGATGACCTCAAACTTCTGCTCCTCCTGCCTCCACCTTCCTAACTTAGGTTTTGGGAATGCACACATACACCAACACACTTAGTTTCAGTCAGTGCTGAGGATGTAATCTCGGGCTTTCATTTTGCCAACTAAACCACAACTGCAATCTTATTTTATATGTATATTTTATCTTTTAATTTTTGTTTTGTTTTTGAGAGAGGGTTTCTGTGTGTAACTCTGGCCACCTTGGATTGCTCTGTAGGCCAGGCAGGCCTCAAACTCAGAGATTTGCTTGCCTCTAGGTCTCAAGTGCTGGGATTAAAGGCATGTGCCAACCAGTGCCCAGAAGTTTAATTTTACATTTTAAAACAGGGACTCGGGTTGCCTGGCCCTGAACTTATTTGTAGTAAGTAGGAATGACCCTTAACTCATGATTCTCCTGGCTCTGCCTCCTGAGTGCTGGGATTACAGGTCTGTCTCAATATGCCGGCTTCATGTTTTAATTTTAAAAGAAGGCCTTGCTAAGACTATGCTAGTCTCGAACTTGGAGCTGTCATGCCTTGGCCTGCTAAGGGCTGAGACTGCAGTATGCATCAGCACTTACACGGTTAACAGGCTAACAACCAGGCCATAAGAAGAGGAGCCACTCTGTACTGTTGTTCTGTTTCTACCCCTTTCTACTCAATGGGTCATACATCCCACGGGTGATGTATGTCTGCTTCTTTTCATCCCCACAGCTATACCACTTCAGTCTTGTTCCATATTTTACACAGTATGCAAAATTCCTGCATTTAATTTCCAGACCTGTTTAATCTATCTTTTGTAAAGAGTGATTTTTCTAAAACTTGTCTGATTACATTTTTTCTACCTTGTGGATCAATATTACTTAGAGGACAAATTTAAACTTTTAAATTTAACACACATGGGACTTCATAACCTGACATTTTATCTAGCTCACTAGATTGCTAGATTTACTGCTTTCCCTTTCCATATGGCAATCACCTATATAAAACCTCTCTCTATCATGCCCATGATGACATAATTGGACAATGAAGGCAAAGTATTCAGTAAACATCTGGCACACAGTAAGTGATTAAAAAAAAAACAAACAGCAATTCACTAAGGTTTATGTGCATGAATACAGAAGACTAAGAATGATTTACCACACTGTTGCCCAGTGGCCTGAAAAACTCCTTGAGTTTATCAGTTAAAATCTAACTCAAAGAAACCTTCTCTGAAGCTTGCCCTGACCTACTCAAACAGTATTTTCTTTTGTTTGTTTCTGTTTTTACTTCCCGAGACAGTCTTTTGATGTAGCCTCGGACAGCCTCAAGCCATCATGCCCAGTTCAAGCAGTAATCTTTGTTTCTGTTTTCTAAGTTCTAGGTTCAGAACAGAGAACATGTAGGCCAGGCCAGCCTCAAGTCCATGTGTGATCCTCATCAAGCAGCCTTTTTTAAAATTAAAATTAGGAAGGAAGTGGGGGCATGCTAAGACAAAGCCATCAGCTGAAGCTGATCTAGAACACACTGTGTAGCTCAGGCTGGCCTCAATCTCTTTATCCTCCTGCTTTAGCCTCCAGGTGCTGGTTAATAAGCATATAGCATCATCTTGGCTTCAAGAGTAAATTAAACTTTAAAGCAACTTATTGTTTATTATATTTTAATTATTTGTGTGCACACACATGAACACTGCAGGTGCTGTGAAGGCAACAGATCCCTCTCAAGTTAGAGTTAGAGGTTTGGAGGCACCAATGGGGAACAATGAGGTCTTCTCTAAGAGAGGTATGCACTTTAACTATTGAGCCATCCCTCCAGTCCCCAAATTAATGTTTTTAAAAATGGTTCAGAAAGTCAAAACTTACGTCCATGTCTGATATGGTAAATGCACCCGCGTGCTCTGAACTGACCCTCTTTTCCCACGCTGCTGTGCCCGTTCTATCTTTACTCCCGCAGCCGTTTCCTTTAGTCACGGCTAGCCCCCAACAGACTGAGTTCTCTCATATACAGCAACTACTTCCTAGATGCTTTGTTTTTCTAGTACCTGGCACAGATTTCCAATAAGTGTTCCAATTAATATGTTTAATTCAAGGTTAACAATTAAAACAGTTACAGTAGGACCAATGTGGAAAACCTGATTTCTTGTTTTTAACAAGTAAGAGGTAGTAAGTTCATCCTTCAAAAAAAACCTAAATATTTACTTTTCAATATTTTCTTCATCTAAAAACATTAAAAAGTTATTTGAGCACTGGCTGTTATTGCAGAAGACTCAGATTCACTTCCCACCACCCACACGGTGGCTCACAACCACCCACAAAACTCCAGTTCCAGGGGAATGCCTGCTGACCTCTGCAGGCACCAGTCACACAGATGGTGCACATACATATAGACAGAACACACGCGCGCACACACACACGAAAATAAATAAATCTAAAAACAAAATTTTTAGAGTTTTTCAAAGTAATTTTGAAAAGGAAATAAAGATGCAAAGTCTAAAAATAAGACATCCCAATCACATAAAAATATGCCAATTTGAATAGCTTGATGTAAATACTGGAAACTAACTGTTACAGTCTCCTACACAACATACCTAACTGGAGATAAAGTATGACTTACCGTGGTTACTATTAAACTGAATAGAACTAGGGTAAAAAGCAGGTGGTAGTTTAATGAGTTCTTTGTCTTGAAACATTCAAACCTTTAAAATAAGAAAGAAAGGAATTTGCTTTATAATGTACAACTAGGAAAAACTGAATGCCGCTTACAACTTGCCCACAGGCCTTTATGATCCAACAGCATTCACCATTTCTTCCCTCCCACCGTCCCCTTCCGCGTTAGAAACACTGAACTGCTGGTGGGGGTGGCGCCCACCTTTAATCCCAGCACTGCAGGCAGAGGCCATCGGATCTCTGAACTCCAAGCCAGCCAGGTCTACAGAGTTACAGTCAGAACTATACAGAGAAACCCTGTCTCGAAAAATCAAAAAAGGAAGGGAGGGAGGGAGGGTGGGAAGGACAGAGGGAGGAAGAGAGGGAGGAAGGAAGAGGGAAGGAAGGAGCACTGAACTGTATACAGATTACAAGAGGCTAACTGAATCAGCAGCAGTCACATGACTTTAGCTGAGACAATGTAGTTTTCTATTATGGGCTATTTCTGGGGATATTTAGTGTCCCGAAGAGACTGTTTACCTGCATAACAGCATGTCTGTTAATGAAGCTCCGCTCACAATCTTTAGAAAGTTACTGAATTTCTCTGTGATTTACTTGTTTATAGAACCAGCTCAGTACCTACTGTTCGGAGACAGTGCAGGGTGGGCACAAAGCCCATCCATAGCTGAGGAGCTATTGGCATTTGATAGCTGCTGGGAAAGAGAAAGTCTGTTTTCTTTATGGTGTGAGCACTATACTCCACACCCAGAACGCCCCATACCCAAGAGTAGCCAACCAGCACAAACGGGACTTGATAGGTTAAAAAACAATAACAATAAAATAGAACATAATACTGGGTACTTAGGGAGATATGAATGGATCTGGAAAGAGTTTAGGGAGAAGAGGATAATCAAAATGCATTGTATAAAATTTTCAAACAATAACTATGAATGTACTTGACGTTTCAGGTAAGCTTTGATTAAGAAACAGTTTGTGGGCTAATGAGATGGTTCAGCAGATAAAAGCAATTACAGTTCAAGCCTAAGTTCAATCTCAGGGTACCAAAGTGGAGGGAGAGAGCACACTTCAGAAAGTTGTCTTCTGACCCCAACATGTACACTGTGGTACATGAGCACTGCACACACACATACATGTACAGACACTAATAAACAACAACAGCAATAACAACAAAAGAAACTGGTTCTGGCTCAGCAGTTAAGAGTACTTGCTACTATTGCAGAAAACCTGAATTTGGTTCCTAACATGTACATGGTAGCTCACAACTCTCTATAACTCCATTTCCAGGGGATGCCATATCCTCTCTGGCCTTCTCATACCAGGCATGAACATGTTGCACAGACACACATCCAAGTCAAATGCTCATACATATAAAATAAAAACAATCTTTTAAAAAGGCAGTAACTAAATAAGAAACCATTCATGCTACCCCAAAACTTTTACGGCATTCTTGAACACATTCTTCACTCAAGAAAAGGCAAAATGCATATTTAAGTCAAATTAAGATACCATCTACACTAGCATTGGGGTTTTGAGATCATAGTTGTTAGTATAAAACATCCCCCAAAACTAAACTCTTCATTAATGTTACAATTTTTTAATCTTTTATATTACATATCCTAGTATGTAATTGGACCAAAAAAAAAACCCACATTGGATAGAATCTTAAATATAAGTACTCACATGCAGTATACAAATATGCAGCAACTGTAAATCATGGGGAGTTCATCCAGTAACTACATGAGGCAGAGAGACAAAGATGTGAGCACAGTACAGCTAGAATTATGAAAGTCAAAATAAAACTTCACAATGATTATGACTGTCATCTCTTAAGCTAGGGATGTACCTCAGTGATAGAGTGCATTCTTAGCATGCCAGGCCCTGCATTCAATCCTAGCTGCTCCTCCCAAAATTATTACTTCTTAATTTCTTTTACTAGTTGTTCAATATATTCACCACCACCAAATTTACTTGTGCAGTTCATTGCTTTTGAACCATCAAGGTTATCTATCCATCCCTTCTAAGGCACACATCTAAGTGGCACATATGACTGACTTTTTCAGAGAGCAGCCTTGTAACCAGAGTCCAGGCCAAGAAAACTGGAAATGACTGTGAATGTCCAGGTTTGAGAAATACTTAGGAAATAAAGAGATTTGTTGTTAATTTTATAGAAAGGTGAGATAAAAGAAACTATAGATGATATATCAATTTTCTTGCTTCACAATTCAGATATAGTAGTACAGTTTAATGAGATTATGAAAACAGAAATGACAAGAGCAATTTTCAGCATTCTGAGTTTAAAGGACCTAACATAGATAGTATGTAGAAATGTCAATAAGGTAATGATAAGTACAGGAGAAAAGTGTGGACTGCAGATGTTTGTGGCTTGCTTAAAAGGACTATATTTACAGAAATATAAACATTCATTCATTTGCGCGCGCGCATGTGTGTGTGTGTGTGTGTGTGTGTGTGCGCGCGCACGCGTGCGCATGCATGTGGAGGCACTCTCCATCTTGTATTTTGAAACAGGGCCTCTCACTGATCCGGAGCTTCTAATTAGCGTAAATTGGCTAGCCATAAAGCACCAAAAATCTGCCTGTCTCTGTATGGGATTACAAGCATATGCTACCACTTTTGGCACTTTTCTGTGGATTCTGGGGATCGACTTCAGGTTCTCATACTTGCATGGCAAGCACTTTACTGACTGAGTTATCATTAAGGCCCCCATTTGTTTATTTTAATTTTATTCATTTATTTAGCAGAGATTTATTGATCATGCCTATGCCCAGCACGAGTGTAGAGTTAGAGAACAATATATGAAAGTTGGTTCTCTTCTTCTACCATATGGATCATGGGGACCGCACTCAGGTTAGACTTGGCAGCGAGCACCTTTCTTAGTCTTCTTACTGCTTATTAATGTTTTGTTTAGTTTCTAAAACTGATTTATTTTATTTGTGTACGTGTTTTGCGCCTTCATGTACTTATATGCAACCATGTTTGTGTTTGGAAAAGGTGCTGGATCCACCGGAACTGAAGTTACGGATGGTTATGAACTCCCATGTGTCTGCTGGAAACCAAACCTGGGTCCTCTCTCTATAGTTGGCATACAAAATAATCAGTTTTGAGCTTCAAGATATCCAGGGCTACACAAAGAAACCCTGTCTCAAAAACTAAAATAACAACAATAATAATTTTGTTTTGACATTTCTGTATGTATATATCATTTATTCAGATAAGCCTGAAGCTGGGGCTGGTCAAGTACTTGCCTAGATGTGCAATGCCTGTGTTCATTTCTAATACCATAAACAACAAGGACAAAGATGAGTCTGGTAAGGGCCAGATTACAAATCTTAGTACAAAGTTACGAGTTTAAACTACAGGCAGAATCAAAGAGCTAGTGATGATAAGCCAAAAGGTTCAAAGGACTAGATATATAACCTCTTCTCAGCAAAGACAGCAACTTAACAAGGCCCATTCCATTCAAATGGATGCCACTGATCCATGAAAGACTGCAGGCAGCTAAAAATACAATGTTTTTGTGAACTGCTTGCGACTTTTTAGGATACCTCCATGTAACTGTCTTATTTAATGATGTTCTAAAATTACCTATGTCTGCATAGAGTTAGCATGGATACACAGAAAGCCATACTACTTCTTCATATGGTTTGAGTCCTTTGACTTGAAGTGAAAAACTTCAAAGATGAAAAGTCCCCACTTTTATTATTCTTTAATATATATAATCACTTACTTTTTCCATTACTCACCTGCATCTCATATTTCAGAGTCATGTGGAAACACCAAGATCCTGTTCCTACCACTGAAATTAAGACAGACAAATAAAAAGATTGGCAAGAAATTCTTTGGGGGGCATATTGTCAGAAGACAATAAGACATTTCAAAGTAGTAAGCTTTGAGGAAAAAGAAGTTTAAGGTCTTGTGACGAAATACAGATAATGTTGAGTTAGTGCTATGACTGAGGACTTTGTCACAGAAGAAAACAAGCAAAGTAGTTTTTCTAAAATTCTCTCTGTAAGTAGTTGACTAGACCAACAACACTTTATTATTTCTATAAAGTACTGGATGCTCAGGATAAGCTTTAATGTGCATAGATGGTCAGCTTCTTTTAGCACTCCTTGTACTTCTCTGATCCATAAACCCTAGCAATATAATTTAAAGAGCCACAATATCATATATACAAAACTACTATAAATATCTGAAATGCAACTCTCTTGAGAACTTTCTTTAGATCCTGACAGCCTTCAGTGTATTGCAGTCTCTATGTGTAAATACTTAATACACTAAGTTTGCTTCATTCTGACCTATTCTGTAATTCTTTCTGCGGCACAGTCAAGGATCCAAGGGAACATATCAGATCCTGGTGGCAGTTTTGGGCTGTGTCTCTTTGTCATAAATAATAGTTCTATGTACTGAAAGTTTTATGCGATGCCAAATGTGCTGACCACTATATAAGCCCTAGGTCCTTCATCTTTATAGAACCATTATCAGTTACCATCTGGCCTTCATGTAATTCACTGACAACAAAGAATTACACACAGCATACAGCTATTAAGTAATAAGGAAGGGATTCTAACTCAGGTTCCTTTATAAAATACTTTATATATAACTTATGTATTTAGGAAACAATTACAGAGGTATGTATAGAAAAGGCATAAAAACATTTTCAATTTTCTGGCCAAAAAGTGGGCTTTGTAAGCATGGCTAATAAAATTTTGCAGCTCGGTAGGACTTTTATAATAAATACTGTTATCAATAGTCCATACATCCCAGAGATGTGACAGTTCTCTGACTGCAGCAACAGGAACTGAAGCTGACACTGATTGCCTCAAGATGTGTTATGAGACTGTCATGGTTGAACCTACGTTGGTGGCCCAGACATGCGTGCACTTCCAAGCAATTCCTCACAGAATTCGGACAGTTCCCCGACTACAATAAGATAGATCAGAATTTTGAGCCAAGTAAAGGGTAAATTTCAGATTCACTCTCAAGACCAATGTCAGGAGACAGATAAACCTCTCTGCCACTGCTCTAATACACGTGATTTCTTTTGAATATCTGGCATATGAAACAGAGCTATCCCCAAGCCCTTGGTGTAGGGTTACTTCAACTAGGTATTGGTGTGCACTCTCAAGATAATCCTCTAAGGTCTCAGGTGCCACTATGGTTGCTCAGCTTCTTATTGAATTGTGAAACTTTCATAGAGACTCTTATTTCACCATCTTATGGACATTATCTCTCATATGTTACGGCTTTGGCCATTTATTTCTCCATTTGAGACTGTTTGCTTAAGTTAGAAAAGTTATATTATAACATCTTTTTAAATTAGCTGAGAGAAGAATTACTTTCAACCAAAAGGCTTTGCTTTTGCTTTCCTTTAAAAAGTAAATTTGACCCAGGCACAGTGTATGCCTATAATCCCAGCACTCAGGGAGGCAGAGGGAGGCAGATCTCTATGAGTTCAAGGCCAGCCTAGTCTACAAAATGAGTCCAGAACAGCCTAGGCTACACAGAGAAGCCCTGTCTCGAAAAAGCAAAGGGAGAAAAAAGGGATAAAAAGTAGTTTTGTATGGAAATAAATTGTTCTCCTCAGGTTAGGGAAGTCTATTTTATTCAGAATAAAGGTTATGGATAGTTTATAAGATTCTTAGTTTATGCTGCCCCCTTCTGTCAGTTTTTTTATATAGTTAAAAGTATCGATGATATTTATTTTTTATATGCAATAATGTTTAACTTTTTTTGAAAGCATCCAAAAGATAACAGAATGCTACAAACTATGTTTAAGTAGAAAAGGCTCTTGAGCTTTCATTGATACAATTTTTTAGATCTTGTTTTTCTGACAAGAACGTTATATAATTTATTTTATTTTATTTTTTTGTTGAAACAGTCTTGCTTACATATACCAAGGTGGTTTCAAACTCTCGATCTTCTTGCCTCAGTCACTGAAGTGCTGGGATGATAAGCATTTCACACCATGCTCAGTACCTATACACTATTTCAGAGGTTACAGATATATACAGCATAAACATAAGAGCATTTAAGAGAATTTTAAAATGTAATTTAAGATAGAGTTTAGCTCTTAGGGTAAAAAGCTCTTAGGACTAAAAAAGGGGAAAAGAAGGAAAAAAAAACAGGCAGAAACACACAGGAAATTTCTATTTTAGCAGCAGTGGTATATTTCCTTTAAAAAGAAAAAGTTACGATCTGAAGCAAATAAGAAAACTTCTGATTTGACAACGATGGATAGAAAAACATCTGTTTATTTTATTACCTCTATTTTGTACAGTTGAAAAAGTCTGAACTTTTTCAAAGTTACTCAAAAGTGCAGTTCAAGTCATTGTCAAGGTGTGAGAAGTTTCAACTCTAATGTTTCAACTCAAAGTGTATTCAAGTTGTATACCAAGTAACTGCATTTAGAAATAAATGAGCATAACCACCCACATGCAAACTGCACACTGTTTTCAGATGAAGTATTCTACATACCCATGAGTGCCAAATAAGCAGCAATGTACCGCTTTTCCAGTCCATCTCTAATGCTCTGAATTGCACCAAAAAATGGAGGTATGATCATAATCAGGTTACTCACTGTATTCCCTACAAGAGAAAAACACAAGACATTTAGATTAACCAGTAACACTTAAGGACGTTTCATTTGGTCTTTAGGAATAATTAAATAAGGAATTCCTTTGAAAGACTGTGATAAGATATCAAGGTACTACAAAAAAAGGTCTTCATTCAATACAAATTTCTCAAAATAATAAAATAAAAAAGATATTTTCTGACAAATGAAACTAAGAGTGTTTTAGAGTATAGCAACTTAAGAGAAGGACCCGAGAAAAATCTCAGACATACAACAGTAAGTTAGCTAAAGATGGATATCTATACCAATGCTGCTCAGAGTGAGTGATAATATAAATACTATAACATAAAATAATTAATGATTATATTAATAACGAATAATTTTGGCTGTACAATTGAAAAGCAATCAACACAAAGTCCACATTTTATATGTTTTGTAATATTTCATTTTTCTGGTAATGTTCTTAGTTTCCAGGATATGAGACAACAGATTTTTAAAATTTAATTTGTCTATAATGCAATGATCTTATATGACTTTTGTTCTCATTTCAAAAAAATTTCTGAAGTACAGCAAAAAAGCTCAACAAGGAAAAAGACATCCTGATTTTAATCCCGGGGGTCCGTATATATGGTGGAAGAACCCTTCACATTGTTCTCTGACTTCCACATGTGCTCTGGGCCGCACACGCACATGCGTGTATGCAAATAAATAAAGCGTTATAAAAAATAAAAGCAAAGTTCAACATGAGTAGCAGAAGAACAAAACCAAGTTACAAAAGTGAGGAAAACAAGGAACGAAATAATTAGATAATACAAATTGTATTATAGGTAGAGATGAGCATCATCTTATTAATGTTTCAAGTGAATAATTTCAATATAGTTAATAAGATAAATTATCAATTAATTGAAAACATAAAATTGAGATATTTTCTTAAATAATCAAGGATTGAAAAAGTATATTTGCAACATATCTTTTCTCTGGAACCAACTAGCTAATTTAATAAGCCAAAATAAGGACATTAATGATGAGAAAAGATAAGATAAAAATCTAAGAAACAGGGGCTGCAACACAGAAAAGTAAAAGTAAAGGACTGCTGTCAGAAACATCAGTCATGACACAGCTGCAGATAAAGGAGGAAAGCCAAAAACTGCAGGAAATCTCCATGAAAAAATAAGCAATTTGAAAGTCAAAAAGTTTGTCAGTTATTTGGTAGTAGTATTAGAAAATTTGTACTAGAGTTTAGTCAAATGTGTCTCAACTGAATATTAATATTAATGTTAATATTCAGTCTTCTGTTGAATATTAGGTTAACTCAATTACATGTAATATTGTAAAGAATGCCCATATACAGTTGGTCTTCCATATCTCTGAATTCTGTATTGGTGGATTCAACTCACCACATACTGGAAATATTTTTTAAGTGTGTATACTAAACAGATACTTTTTCTTGTCCATATTTCCTCAACAATAACGTATAGTAACTAGATAATACAATCTTATACAATATTTACATTGTGTTAGCTATTATAAGTAATCAGCAGATCTTGATGAATATTGAAGGATTTGTGCATATTATATGACAATATAATGCTATTTTACATAAAGGACAAGCATCTGCAGATGATATCTACTAGCAGTCAGAAGAAGGTATCAGGTCCCCTGGAACTAGAAGTACAGGAGGTTGTGAAGCACCATGTGGGTGCTGGGAATTGAACCCTGGCTCTCTCCAAGCGCTATGGTGCTCTTAACCTCTGAGCCAACTCTCCAGCCCTATGTTTTTAAAAAGCTGATTTTGGAGTTGGGAATTTAGCTCAGTGCATGCTTAGCAAGCACAACACTCCGGTTCAGTCCTCAGTCCCTGAGGTTAGGGTGGGAGCAATGAAGCAAAAGAAAATTAAAAAGTCGATAAAAAAGACATAAAAAATTGCTCTTTTAATGAGGAATTATATATATGATAGCCAATTTCGATTTAGTAAACAAAAATAATACACATGATTGCAGACTTAAAACATTTTTATTATTAAAAACTGCTATTAATCAGGTTCTAACCATCATTGGTAAGCCATGGAGCAATTTGAAGAGGAAATGTTGACAATAAAGAATTACTGAAGGGTCTAAGATGTACTACAGTTGGTTGCATTCTTGCCTATCATGCATGAAACACTAAATGCTAGGAATTGATTCCCAACATCCCACTAACAAGGCATGGTGGCACATGCCTCTAATTCCAGCACTCAGCATGAAGATAAGAAGTTTAAGATTAGACTCAACTACATAGTGAACTGAAGGCCAGCTTGGGCTACATGAGACTCAGTCTCAAAAAAAAAAAAAAAAACCAAACATTGGAGCCAGGTCACCTGGTATAATATACCTGTAATCCTAACACTTGGGAGGCAGAGGTAGAGGATCTCAAAATATCAAGGCCAGATTATTACTTAAAAGAAGAAATTAGAGTAGCTAGTTGTTAAGAAGTAAAGAGAACTTTGTAGAATAAAGGAAGAGTTGGTGTAAGGCCAGCAGAGCTACTATCCTTACCCACTGTTCTAGAGCAGCAAAAGAGGATTCTTCAGAGCTGAGATGCAGAACATCATCCATGGTTCACTGAACAGTAGAGAAGCTGCTGTGTGACCAGCCAGGGATATGTGAGACCCTGTTACACATACACACACACACACACACACACACACACACACACACACACACACACACCCTACCTTACCCAGAAATCTGCCTTCTAAGGTGACAGCAAAAGTTGACCACCTATTGGCTACTATGTGCTTTGGATTAAACTCAGGACCTGGGTACTGGAGAAGTTTCCTGCACTTGTAGGAGCTACAAGCTACTAATGTCAAGAAGTTGCCTAACCAGAACACCGACACTAAGAAAAGCCCTTCCTCCTTGCTGTGTATCTCTACTGCCCTCCACTGACAGAGTTTAACTTCTGCTAGTTGTCAAAGGAACAATTAAAGGTAGTATATAGAATGAGTACTGAATTGGAGCAAAGAACAGGCTCATAATTTGACCACTTGGTCCCCTGCTCTTGGAAAGCTCTAGAATGTGTAGGAGATGGGACTTAGCTAGTAAAAACAAGTCATCAAGGGCAAGCCCTTGAAGGTTATGCCTAACCCCTGGTTTCTGTCATGCACTCTGCTTCTTGGTCCACCAGGCTTTCATGCCTACCCTACAACGAGCTGAAACCAAAGTAAGTGTTCAAATTGTTTCTGTCATGTATTGTAGTCAAATGACTACAAAGAAACTAATTATATATATGGGAAGGAAGAAAGAATGGAAGAAAGGACAATATGAAATTAATAAGTTTAGAGGAGAACTCCGAATGAACATATACAAGCAAGATGTTTTGTTTTAGCATGACAGTAGGTGGAGCTACTATGTTCAGCAGGCTAAATGCCCAGTATCTGGCAAAATAGAACCCTGAGGTGACTAGATTCTATAATTTGGAATTTAGATGAACTTACAACTATATAACCAGCTCCCAGTGCTAAGGATCAAAATACAGAAGCATTAAAACCTAGTGAAACTGCAAAAAAACACCCACTGTGCTTTACTGATGCTTTGAAAAGCTCTCTAACAGCCAGCAAATGAGCTACGTGAAAGCTGTAAAGCTACCTGTAGCTTCCTCAAATTTCATTTTGCAAATATTTTCATGAAATGTCCAAATAATGCTAAAAATTCCTAGGACATCAGAGCTGAAAGAGAACAGAGAGATCTTGAAATTTAATCTCTCTATAGTAGTCAACATGCTGTTCTATGGTGGCAATTTATTAGCTAAACATCTTAGTTTGACAAGCTGTTAAGTTAAAAATATTCAAACAATTAAATATTAAGGAAATATGATCAGATGATGTCTCAGTTAGGGTTTTTATTGCTCTGACAAAACACAATGACAAAAAAAAGCAAGTTGAGGAGGGAAGGGTTTATTCAGCTTACACTTCCATATTGTTCATCACCAAAGGAAGTTAGGACGGAAACTCAAACAGGGCAGGAAACTGGAGGCAGGAGCTGATACAGAGGCCATGGAGGGGTGCTGCTTATTGGCTTGCTTCCCATGGCTTACTCAGCCTGCTCTCTTATAGAACACAGGACTACCAGTCACCCACAATAGGCTGTGCCTTCCCCCACTAATTAATTGAGAAAATGCCTAACAGCTGGATCTCGTGGAGGCAGTTCCTCAACTCAGGCTCCTTCTTCTCTGATGACTCTCACTTGTGTCAAATTGCCACACAAAACCAGCCAGTAGAGATGATACATATATGTGTGTGTATTCGGTCTCGGCATATCCAGTGTCTTCCGGGGAATGCATGGTGGTGCACACCTTTAATACCAACACTTGGGAGGCAGAAGCAGGTGCATCTCTGTGAGCCTGAGGCCAGCCTAATCTAGTACAGGACAGCCAGGGCTATGTAGAGAGGCCCTTTCTCAAAACAAAACAAAACAAAAGCAATTCCTTCTGGCCTCTAAGAATGCCTGCACTTATACACAAATCCATATAGGTACATAAACAAATACACAGAGTTAAAAATGAAAAAGTAAAACAAAAAATAAAAGCAAATCCACACCTTGACTTATGAAAAGTATTTTTCACAGTTCTAAATATTTTAAAGCCATATACTATAAAAATGAAATACACATTTTAAATTGCAATGGAAGCATATTTTTGGCTTTTGAAGAAACACAAGTAAGGAGATAAGAGAGGAGCCAAAGCTCCACATCAGTCATGACTGAGTAAAACTCTGACCTTATGATAAGATGGAGGTTACAGGGGAGGGAGACTCAGCAGAAAAGTACTGTATGTATCCAACTCTGCCTTAGAAAGGGCCAAGGTGAACACTAAACAACAAGAAAAGACTTTAAACAGATTATATGATCCAGAAGAACAGGGGAAGATGGTTTTCAACTCACTGGAGAAATATTTGTTGAATGAAAATATTAAGAATTATCCACAGGTCAAGAAGGAAAAATGTTTAAACCATGCTAAGCAATGAAGAGGCACACT